CCCCAAAACCCCAAAACCCCAAAACCCCGATACCAAATATCTATTAGGATTAAATGATCAAATGAATTTAATCACATATTCTTTGAATTAATTCTAGAATCATTAATCATTCTTTAATAATCTTAACTCCTTCTCTCCCAATTCTAGTCTAAATCAATCTATCCATATCATTTTCAATCAAATCTTTAAACTCATTTAAAACAAACTCTTTATCTTCTTTCATTATAAATAGGAACACATGAAATCCAGCATCAATAGAATAAGCTACAATATTCTTGCCCTTTTCCTTGTTAATCTTTAATGCCTACTTTATTATTTTCTTCGTCCTTTCATTTATATAGAAAATAGGTGGGTATGAATCAAGACACACTGCATGAAGTTAGTTGGTCTCTTTAATTGTAATCTCAGCAAAAGAGTTAAAGTCTCTGTTCTCTAGAGTCATTGTTAGCTACTCAATATGTTTTTAAGGTAGATTACAATCAAGTCTGGCTCTCATCAACTCAGATGTGTCAATAGTTATTTTCATTCCATCTGTAGAGGGTATTTCCTTTGTTAGTCCTTAATCCTTCTCTGGCTTTACACAGCAAATAGCAATTTACAGATTATCTAACCAGTAATTCATAGATTCACTAGAGATATCAATCTGTTTAGCTATTGATTTCCTGCTGAGTTCTTCTTTTGATAAAGAATCAAGTTAATCTCTTGATGAGAAACCGCAATGCCATTGAACAAATCCTCCATAGAGAGATCTACATGCACTTCCAGAACCTAGTCTAGCAAAAGTTGAATACTCACCTTCAAATGACTCTTTCACTCCAAATAACTCAGCTAATGCAAAACTCAAACAAGAGAGTCCGCTTGAGCTAGATGCTAAACCTGAGGCTGTAGCAAAATTATTCTCACTTTCAATCATGATCTTCATTTTCAATAATTCTTCCTTTTCAAAGTGGGTCTCTATTTAATTGCCATCTCTTATTTATTTTATAGTCACTCCTTCAGTTCTTTCTCTAATAGCATTTACAACATTCATGATTCTCTTGGTGACTTTATCTTTTTTCCCATTCAAAATTAATTCAATCTACTCATCAGATTCATCAGCCTAAACTAGTCTAATTCTTGTTTTAGAGCATAAATCATTCTAGTCAATAGTAATACTCAAAGAAGAATTCCAAGGTATAATATAATCCTCATCAACTTTACCCCAGTATTTAACTAGAGCTATATTTATAGGGCTTGTAGCTATCACCTCAAGTGATCTGTCTTGATTATTTAATCCTATCATTTATCTTTAACTAAATAATTAGCAAATAGCTATTTGAGATAAGTTAATAATTAATTTAATTCCACATATTTATTATATCAATTATTTAAAGATATAAATAGCATGGGGTTTTGGGGTTTTGGGG